AGGCACAGGCTGGAAAAGCTTCAAAATCAACCTAGAAGAACTAATTGATCTCTCAACTTCATTAAGAACTGAAGAACAATTAGACCAAGAAATTGAACTTTTTGTCAAAAATATTCAACAAGCAGCATGGGAAAACACTTCTGAGATTAAACGCAAAAGTGTAGAATACCAGATGAAAAAAACAACTTTAAACAATGTAACACAATAGCTAATACGTGAAATACGGCGCATTATAATTAACTAACATAAAAAGTACCGATTATTCACTCTGGAGAGCTACCAAACGATTGAAAAGGTCCAGCAGTCAGATATAGAGATGGAAGCTGTGCCCGAAACACTTGCAAAAAACAAATAGATTTGCGGAACATTTAAAGAATACCTTCCAACCCAATCATGGTGGAAATCTTCAAGACTGTACGAAACTAGCACAAAAAGAGACAGTCGTTAAACCTATCTATCCAAAAAAAGTTAATACGGAAATCCACAAACTATAAATCCAAAAAAAAGTCCTTGGATTTGACCTCATTACTGGGGAAAATTTGAAAATGCTTTTAAGAAAAGCTATCGTCAATATGACCAATCTTATCAATGCATCCAAAAGACTAAAGTACGTAACGAAGATGTTATAATCATACCTAAGCCAGGTTAACTTCTCCATGAAGTTACATACAGACCCAACTCATTGTTACCTGTCATCTCGAAACTCTATAAAAAATTGCTTCTTAAGAGATTAAAACCTATGATAGCAGAAAAGGACCTAATACTCTGCCACCATTTTGGCTTCAGAGAAAAAACACTAGACCATCGACCAAGATCATAGAATCACAGATATCATCGAGAAAGAAGTTACAAGAAGAAAAAAAACATTTCTTCACGTTCTTTTTGAATGTGGCTGAGGCTTTTGACAAAGAATAGAATGAAGGCCTTATTTAAAAACTGAACATGTTCCTGCCAGTTCATAGGGGTGTGCAGATTGTGCAGGCCCAACGGTAGCCAAACTTAAGGGCGACCGCATATTGTCGGCCGATACAGTTAAATACATTTACTTTTAAGCTAGACTTATAACGTAAAATCCTCTATAGTATTAACTTTGCAGAAAATTTGTTTTATATGCTTCAATATAATAAAAATTGATTTATTGTAAATGTAGTTTTGGTTGTCTCTAATTCCGACAAAACTAATAGTATATTTTAATGTTACATCAATTTCAGGAAATTTTGTTATTTTATAACCTAATTTGTATTAGTTGTTCCCAACTCTATTCTTTAAAATAAAGTAATTGTAATTATCGATTTTTAAAAAAATGGAAGGGACACCAAACGAGAACTGATATAGGTTTCCTCTTTATATTCAAGAGAGATACAAAATACCTTTTAGAATAATCAAGTTTTTTGGTTTTGAAGACTTTTAAAAAGGCGAACACGGCCGTTTGGGTGGTTCCTTTTCTTTTCCTTCTCTCGCGGTGACATCAAGTTATTTTTCAAAAATATCTATATCGTCGTGTGAGTTTGTGCCAAATTGATTCGGAATTTTAAAGTAAAACTTTTGCAGTTAATTTCTTTCATTTTGATAGTGACTTTTCTTGCCTTGTAATAAATTAAAAAGGGAAAGTATGTTCTTTGTTATTTTTCTTATTTTATATATATAAATTTGCTAAAATGTGTCTCATTACGCTTTAACATATAAATTATCTTCATCTTTCGTTTACGGTTTATTACAGAAAAACTTCCTTTTTCTTGATTGAAAAGCCGCAAGGATATAGGGCCGTCGTCGTTTAATAGGTTCGACGAACATTTAAAATGAAATTATGTTCTGGCAGTTTGAATTTTGTTAACCAATTTTTTACCTTTTTAGTCGACTAATTCATTACTTCAAATTACTTGTAAAATAGCAAAAGTGAAATAAACTGTGACCAGAGAAGTGTTGTTTTTACTACGATTGTGTAGTTAAAACATTATTTTATTAGTGTGAGAAGGTAAACAAAAATTTAGGCAGATACCTATCTGTAAAAAATTTTAAAAATTGAACCAGTTCCATCAACATCGTCAATAAGCAGATATTATGAAAACAGTATGCCTGTAGAAAGTATGTATCCTCTATGGTATCTTACTGCAGAAGAAGAAGAAAAAGAAGACAGGACTCTGCTTGGAAAGCAACAACAAGAACCATATCTAACAGATCATAATCCAAATTTAAATAAAACCTCAAATTCGTTTACCTCGTCTGATATTTTACAGAATTAGGTCATCGAACTAATAATACAAAATGATTGTGTACCATTATAAAAATAGTACCCTCTGATGAAACTGGGAGGAAATTTTTTTTAAGTCAATATTTTTGTATTTTGATAAAATAGAGAGGAAATGAAAAAATTTTTGTTTAAGAATTAATATTTCATGGATCATTTGCAAGCTATTAAAAAAAGGGTTGAGTTTAGAGGTTCATTAATTAAAAAATGTAATATTCACAAAGGACAAGACAATTATATTCAACTTAAAAGGGTTTATTACCGTTATCTTATTTTGATCTGGGCAATCCGTGGTCATTTCGTAGATAAAGTTCCGTCTCATACAAACAAGACAATTGCAAATTTTTTAAAGATGTTTAATATTTTTTACAATTAAATGTTGGTTTATATTTTGTTTGTTAAATATTATATTAGTAAATATTTAATAACATATTTTTGTTTCACAAATGTTGCTTTTTAAAATATAGGCGCGACATTTTTTTTGCCTACACAAAGGCGACAGAGGGGCTAAGAACGGCCCTGTCAATACTCTGAATTATTAAAATCCTATTTATTAAAAAAGTATTTAAGAATGAAACAGGAAGAAGCCTATTCCCACCTAAGAGAAATTAAGGCAAGTAGTGTAATAGGTCCAGTACTCTACTTGTTGTATACCAGAGATATTCCTAATCTTGAGCCCAATACTAGTGGTATAAAATACAAAAAAATTTATTGTCATTCCAAATTATCCACATACAACAAATTGCTTCTTTACAGGCAGATATTGAAACCCGTATGGACGTATGATATCCAACTTTGGTGCTATGCCAATAAAAGTAACCACGTTATTCAACATTTTCAGAATAAAGTATTAGGGAACATTGTCGATGATGTACCCTGGTACTGCCGCAATAATGATCTTCACAGGGACCTTAAAGTAGAGACTATTGAAACTACAATAGGAAAATTCGCCAGTAATCACCAACAACGATTGCTCCCCAACATGGGAACGTTGAGGTTACCCAGCTCCTCAGCAATACCAATCTAATAAGATTTAAGCCTTTTAAGTTAGTTTAGTGGTGTTAAATAAAAGCAGGGTAACTATAATTCGGTTTAGTGTTATACGTTAACGGTAATTAGGCTCTAAGATACACAAGGCAGTAGAATCTAAGTTTATGAAGCTTTTGATCCCTAGATAAGTAAGGATAAAATAAAATTGTAATAACCGTAAATTCTTATTTACTTGGGACATTTATTAAAAAAAATATTATACATTGCCAACGAAAACGCTAAAAGAATCAAATCTTGTCATTTCCTTAAATTTTAACAATCCATTTTAGAGAAAAATTATAAACAGCTTTTATCTACAAAATTTTTTCTAATCATAAATAACAGAAGTATACCTTAAGGAAGAAAAATACACCCTAAAAGTACCCCCTCTGATGCTCCAACTATACCCAAGTTTAAAGTTGAGTGTTTTCTCTGTATCTGTTTTTAAATTATCGTTGATACAAATAGACATCGTCGCGAAAATGACCAAAATGTATTCAGGGGACCCCAAAACGTAAAAATCCATTGTAAACTTCAAGTTTCCTTACTAAAGTAAAAATAAGTCTTGCACCAAAAAACAAAATCAAGAAAGACTCAATTAATTAATTCTAGTCATTATTTCGGTTAGGCATTCTTCTTGTAATTATTATTTATTTATTTCGAAACTATTGGATAATGTAGATTTATTAAATTATTACTCTTTATTAATGGAAAATTGTTATGTAACCTTAACCCTTCAATAAATAGCAGAAAATACCAATAATTTAATTTACATAAAGAAAGCAATAATACATTTCTGGTGAGCCTATAAACAATACGATTATTATCACAAAACGCTCATTATATATTATATTTGTTTATAAAATAATAAAAACTCCATATCCAATGAACTGTTGTTAGTAATATGATAGGTGTGACCTTGCCAATGTAGGTTTCTATTTTTAAAGCATGTTTACCAGCTTAATCCGATGAAAACAACAATTAAAGCATACTCAACTGATATTTTATCCAAAGTGTTTATTTAGATTGGAAAATAATAATCAATGGTTTAGTGGGAAATCATGGAAAGATAATTACATAATATTGAAAGCAAATTAAACAAAACTGGTCATTCAATAAAACAAGTTAAATAGTATTAATTAGTACAGAATATTTTTCTCCTTCTAATTCTTGAGGATAGGTATGTCAATATTTGATGGAAACTACATCTACAAAATACAAGTTTTTCCGTCGTTACCATAAAAAAAAAATTGTGGACCCAGATTTGACCTCTGAGGCACTTCTAGTTAAATAAATTACATACAAATATACAACCAGGGAAATAGATTGTAATATATTAGTGCATGAGAGCTTTATACTCAGCATCGCATTAGCCCTGATGGTCTAAGCAATTGAGGCGTTGCTCGGTAAAACCTCATTAGTCCTATCTTGTCAAATAATAGATTTTGTCGTTAAAAATTACCTGACTCCCATATACACGTATATAAATAATAATTTCTTGTAAAAACCTTATAACTTTCCTAAAAGCTGATCCTGTAAAAACCTCACAAGTCCATGTTGTTTGCTCTAAGAAAGTCACATGTCCATAACATGTGACAGATGCAGAAGAAATGTGATTCAAAGCATAAAGCACACGTTGTTTTTTTGTTTGCGTTAGTTTGTGAATGTTCCTCAAAGAGATAGGTTGTTGTTTATTTTATTAAAACGGACAAAATGAATGAAGAAAAAACAATAAAGAAGCAGAAGATGTTCAGTGGCAAGAGAAGCAACAAAATAAAGAACATCCAAAGACGGTCATTATTAAAGCTAAAGTAAAAGGTTTAGAACATAAGAATCATAAGAAGAAACTAATAACACAAAAAGTAATAGAAGATGATTGCAGGTATATTTGCGTTGACTAATGTTAAATATTGTTTTTTATTTATTGCTTTACTTTTTTTTAGATGCAAACGCCTAAAATGTTTTCAAAACGTTTCGATTGAAGAACGTGAACGCTGTTTTACCAAATTCTATAAAATGCATTACAAAAACGAACAAGACGTATACTTGGCTAGCCTTATAACAATCAATAATATAAACAGACATAGAAGACGGAATCGGGTAAACAATAAACCACATTGTGCTTCATATTCATACAAGGTGCGATGTTTTAATACAGAAAAGATGGTTTGTGTCAAAGCATTTGCCAGCCAGCATTCATGCAATTACATTGCCGCGCTTAAAAAGAATTCAGTTGTCACTAGTAGAAAAAGGTTGTGCACCCAGAGATATGACAAGCAAACATACTTGCCGCCCTAGAAACTATAGCAAAGAAGCTACTATCCTCTTTATAAATCATATACGTACATTTTCTCCAATTTAGTCTCATTACTCATTGCGAAAAATCCAAATCAGCTGTACGTACCATCCGAGTTAACAGTGAAATATGCACAAGACTTTTCTACAGGAGTACTACCTTAACGTTCCCTACAAAATTTACTGTAAAATATTAAAGTTGGATATCCCCGTTCAGACACATGTGCAGAAATTGTGTTTTGATTAGTGATGGCTGTTCGGGTCAGAACAAAAACTACACCATGTTGCTTTTTTAAATGTGTTAGTTTATGGTCTTAATCGGTTTGATTCTATATCTTACCTGTTCCCTGTAAGAGGTCACTCTTATCTTCCTAATGACCAGGATTTTTTCCTTATTTCAAGAAAAAAGTGAACCCCAGAGGGGTGGGATAATGTTATTTTACAATCACGAAATAAACCGTCACCTTTTAGAGTTGTCATAGTCGACCAATCCATCATTTTTGACACCAAAAGTGCAACTGACAAATTTTTATTAAAAAATCCAAAACCAGCAATTAACACAAAAAACGTAAGATTGTTCCGAACTGAAAATACCAATCGTTGTGTACCCCTAAGAGATAGCTACACTGGTGCATGGCGGTCATCGCTTGTAGCTTCAAGAATATCCATGCAAAAATAAGTAAATTTAGAACATGCATACATTCTGCCAATTTCAATAAAGAAAACCTGGAACTCTAGAAAATCTTCTGCCTCTTCTACATAACTACAGCAACAAACATTTTTATAATGACTTGATTAAAAACCAGAAGAGCAAAGAACTTGACACCGCTGCTATGAATAACACTATCGACAATGATGATAATAGCAGTGGCTGTGAAGACTACTAAATTACTGTTAAAAAAAATGATTGTTCCTGTAACCCTGATAATGTTTTGAAGTTTTTTGTGTTTACTTTTATTTAGAAGCTTATATGGTTAGTTATAGTGGATAATTTATTTTTTATTTTTGATAAGAACATATTTCGTAAATTTTTCCTTTATAAACCTCATAGGTCCATGTATTTTTTTGGTTTTCTCATATTGTTTTGAAAAAAAAAATCGTAAAATGTTTTGGAAAATGTTGTTTATATTTGTTTACACCTACTAAGTGGTAAAATAAAGCTTTTTAATAAAACGTAAAGATCCAGGAGGGTTTTTATTGTTTTATCAAAATTATTATTATTTTTCCGAACAAAGCTTTAATTGCTTAGGCCATCACGTCTTGGGGGGGGGGGGGGGGGCACCACAAACAGCACAAAAAAATATTTGCTAGCACATGAAAGGTAGGCCTGTTTGAAAATCCGCTCGTTTTAAATAGACTAAAGCGTTGATGTGGATTTTAAAGACATCCGTTAAAGACGAAGGAAAAAAGTGCCCAAGGACAATCCAGCTCCTGAAGTAAGTCTCAGCCCGAAAGATCAATTTTAAATCATGAGTTTGTATATGATTGATAAATTAAATTAGAGATACGAGAGAAATACAAGGAAATAGCAGACAAATTCTCATTCCTGACTATAATACCCGATGTCGATAAAATTATGTGTCCGGATCAAACTTGAGAATTCAGTCAGGATTGTAGAAATTCAGTAAATACATATCCACAAGAAATTAATACCGATTTAGGAACCGAAATTGAACAGTTTCATTCATATGTCGTAAAAAAAATATGTTTCGGTGATTTGCCTCGGACAAGTGCACATCAAACTCAAGAACAATGATAAAATTGAATCAGCGTTCCCTAATGTGAACACAGCCCTGCGTATATTTATATGCGTGATGGCATCAAACTGCACAGGAGAAATTGCTTAATGCTTTATCAATAATATACAGGGTGTTTTATAATATATGCGCAGGACTTCAAGACGTGATAGCTCGTCCAAAAATATAAAAAAACGTTTCTATTAACTTACCCTCTAAAATGCACCATTTTCGAGATACAGGGTGTTGAAATTGAAAAAAAAAAATTCTACGCCACTAAAAAAGTACTGTTTATACTTGCAGTTAACCAGGCATACCGCCAGTATCTATTATTGGCCAAATTTTATTCGTTAAATTTATATATGATTTATTAAAAAATAAAAAGTCAAAATATGAAATAAAATGCTAATTTTATCCTGCATTCGACAAAGCTAAATTTTGTGCGACACTGTGTACGTTGTTCAGCTTTTTTTTATTGACTGTTAAAACGCTATTTTGCCATCTTGTTCGCACAGCAGTCCAATTACGGTCTCTTGCGTTTCCTGTGGGCCACACCAAACATTTTTATTTACCGAGTACACTCGGATAATAAAGCTCTTGCACTTATCACGGCTGTCTTGATAATGAAATTATAAACAGACTACTGGTCTGTAAACAGTCTTAACCTTTTTTCTTGTTTTTTAGTTGAGAGTTAAAACAACACAAAATGCTCTCGTAAAAAAAGAAAAGAAACCAGTGTGATACGGAGAATGAAGCTAACCAAACATGGATTTTATAATAAGTATTTGTGAATACAGGGTGTATCAGGATCAGGAATAACGTTTATAAATTTGAAAAAATAAAGATAGGCATTTTTTTGCTACCTGTACAAAAAGAGAATCACAGATAATTTTTAAAATATTTCATCTATCTTTTATTTTTTGTTGTTGATAAGGATATTTTTTATTGTCAAGTTGCTAATAAGTATATTTGGCGTATTTTTTGTAACTTGTTTATCATTTTATCACTTTTTTAGGGCCTAAAATTATTTTTCGGGTTATTTTTACTTCAGTTTGAAATTAGTTTTCGACTTGCGACCTTCGGTATTAATTTATTTCGTCCTAAATTTAAATAAATAACGTACATTTATTCAAATATTGGCACTCTCACCAACAGATGCTGCTCGCGCCATTGCTCTTATTGAGAATGGTCGTAGTCAGTGTTATGTAGCTAATTTTCTTAGAGTATCACAGTCGAACATCCATAGAACATATAGGCGTTTTCTTGAAACTGGAAATTACACTAGAAGACCTGGTTCGGGCATGACAAGATCCACATTGCCTGTAGACGATCGTTTTTTACATCTTTTTATTCTTCGACATCGGGATGCCACTGCTGTTCAAGCAAGAAATCGACGTGAAGAAGTTCGGGAAGTGAATGTAAGTGAGAGAACAGTAAGAAGACGCCTGAATGCAGTTGGCTTAATTGCTCGAAGGCCTGCCAATGCCCCAGAACTTCTCCCACATCATCGAGTAGCTCGTCTTCAATTTGCTCGAGAGCACCTTCATTGGAACATAAATCAATGGAGCCAAGTGCTCTTTTCTGACGAGTCTAGATTTTGCCTAAGATCACCTGATGGTCGCCAAAGGGTATGGAAAAGAGCTGGAGAAAGGTACGCACAGTGCAATATCGTTCCACGGGTTAGTTTTAATGGTGGGTCGGTAATGGTTTGGGGAGGCATCACTACGGACTACCGCACGTAGCTTGTCGTGGTGAGAGGAGGATCATTGAATGCAGATCGGTATATAAGAGAAGTTTTACAAGATCACGTCATTCCATTTGCACCTCTAATTGGCAACAATTTTATTTTTGTGCATGATAATGGTCGACCACATGTTGCCAAGGCAGTACGTTAGTATCTTATTGACGGCGGTATTGAGACAATGGAATGGCCACCCCGGAGTCCCGACTTAAATCCTATTAAACATGTCTGGGACATGATGGGCAGACAACTTAGATCGCGTGTACCACCTCCAGACACCTTGAAAGAACTTAGAAATAGAAATATGCTAATTGACACATGGGAACAGTAGGACCAAAATGGAATAAGACACTTGGTATAAGGGATGTACAGACATATGGAAGCTTGTATTCGAGCCAGAGGGGGCAATACCAGTTAATAATTTAATTTTTTGACATGTATAACTGATTTTATATGGTTATCTGAATATTTGTTTTAATTAAATATTGCCACTTTATTTTTCTTTTCTTTTATTACAATGTTAATGACTTTTGTTATGGATCCAAGCTTAAATAAGTCTTAGATAATCTTAACAATAACACACTTTACCAAATCCAAGCCAAAGCAAAAATAAATATACATTTTATGATTTTAAAGAAAACATTTTAGTGATTCTCTTTTTGTGCCGGTCGGTGTATATATTCATTTTAAACGACGATAACTTTGACATTATTACAGCTTTACTAGAATCCATGGAAGGTATTTCCTCGGTTAATTAGCGATATTGCCTCTGTAGTTCAGATGTATTTAATGATTCCTTAATAAAACGTATTTATATAGATATCTTGCAAGACGATTTCAAGATAGGTATTAAAAAGTTACTTACTTCTAGAGTTTTCCTATCTCCATACCAAGTTACAAAACAGCACAAAATCTGGGATTTATCATGGAAACTCAGGATAGACCATTCCTATGTCTCCGGCAATAGTCTTAGAGATAAATAGTCTATTATGACAGAGCGTCAGACAGTCCTTAAATCATTAAAAAGGTATAAATTCAATCCAAGCTAATACTGGACTGCCAAACAGGGCTTCTAGGCATTGGTAGAACATAATAAGTTTAATCAATGGTGAGTTTTGGAACATGAGGAGTACTGGAAAAAGAAAAACCAGACCTCCTAGTCAGGAAGGGAGCTATAAAAAACTCTTACAACCAATATCCCCGTGTGGTGTCTTGTGAAAAAGTGTTAATGGAACAGGTAAATAGAGCGCACCATAAGCTCTATTTAGAAGTTCCTGGACTCAGGCAGTTAAGAATATTTATTGAGGGTGCATCCAAGAAAAACCTTGTCAAGAACGAATTCGATACCACTGTAAGACTCTTTAAGGGATATTGTAATAGTAGAAATAGAGAGATACAATAAACCCAGGGCTTCCATACAAAATAGATAAATAAATAGGTATCAATTTCTAAATAAAAATATGTAAATCTATGCTATATTATAAAATATGTGGCCAAATGCATATTTATAAAAGATTTGTGGACAATAAAACTGTTTGGCATCCTTTGTCGGTAACGTATAAATAGAAGGTCATGCACTCTTAGCAAGTTTGCTTCAATTTTCGATCAAATCACGATTGTGACACTACATTGTAGATATATGCGAGTTTTCATGGTTGGTCATAAAATAATGCAATTACTTGGTTTTTGTCTTTTAACAGATTATAATCGCAGTTCAAATTATTCTCATGAAACGTATTCTCTAATAGCAGGATATATTTATTGCAGATAATTTCCTGAATAAATTTTACTTCTAAAGCGACCGGCGCTTTGTACAAAAACATAATCATCTGTACTTTGATGCTTGTCAATTTAATCTGACAACAATTTATCTATTTTGAATATTCATGCGATAAACTTGAGATGTTTTTAGTGACTGGAATTAACTGAGTTATTCTTCTACTTTACTTTGTTTTTATATAAACTTTCCTGCATGCTAGAACACGAGGTAATCTGCATTTAACTGGCCGATAGCCAAAGCAATTATGACGAGAACAAACCGAAAAATAAGGATGTTATTTCCTTAAATTTAAGTAACTTGTTTTTAAAATTTATGCAGCTATTATTAGTTTAACAATCTGTAGAATTCAACAATAATTATTTTTAAGTCACGTTTATTTGCACATGAATCAGCAGCAAACAAATAGCTAATTTTATCTGCGAAACTATTTTATCTAGACATAAGAGAAAAATACAGGGTAAGTCGGAAAAGCATCTGATGGTTAAATTAAATTTTAAATGAGCGCCGAAAATGTTGTTCACATTCTTAGTTGAAACTTCTCAGATATCTTATGATATAAGCGATTCCTCAACAGAAACCTTTGAAAGAAGCAACCGTCAATTCAAAGTATGAATACTTTACTCTCAGTTGTATTTAGTTCAATACTACTTTACACTTTCGAATCAAATCAAAAAAGAAGATTAGATATGGAATATGCATTTTACACTAAATGATTACTTCATTGCAATCCAGCAATATCTGCTATCAATACCCTCAATCTAGTGCGATCACAGGTATCCAATATTTATCATAATTCTAAGGATTTGGATTTTTCTGGAGCAAGAACTTTGGCACCAAGAAGCTGCCGACGTAACTGTATGCATGTTTGGATTTAAAAACTGTAAACAAACTAATTTTATTCATAGTTGATGGAGAAACTCATTTATTCAACCCCAAACCCCATCATGAAGCTATAGAACTCAATTCTTGGGTACTGCATCGGTATCCAACATGGTTTCAATCAAAAGTGCTCAGGATTATCACAAATGCTTTATGGTGTTAAGGAAGACGGTACTAATAAGTATTCTCACAAATATGCCATCATATACAGCTTTATCTTTGATTTACAGAGACTTAGCCAGAAAATAGAATGAAGATGAAAAACATACCAAGTGATCCACAAAACAAGAATCAATGTTTACTGACACTTTTTTTTTTTCTATATTAGGTTTGGTGTAAGCCCACTTTGTGTAAAAGACGTTAATTTTGGATTTTTTATTTTCATCCAACCAACATAATGCCTCTAGATCTTCCATAAGAGATTCGGCAGCTTCGATGGGAGATTGGAAGTAAAAATAGTAATTTCTTGCTGAGACTGATCATCGAAAATAATTTTCTATTGCTTCTGTTTTTCTCTAGGATATAATCCAATATCTACCCCGATATTTAGCCAGATGAGTTGGGTTTTCGAAAGGGAAACAATCGCTTGAGGTTTTTCATGTCGCAGTGTTTGAATTGTTGTCATCTTTCTTCGTCATTTTGTTATCTTTTATCTTTAGTGTACATAATACAAAAAATTAACAGTATCAGTGAATTTTTAGTGGAATAGAATCTCTTTTGTTCCATCTATATCAGTTGAAAAACAAATTACACATATTTATTTGAAAAATGGATGATCACGTCTGGGTTCTGTGCAACTAGAATTGTTAGTATGTACGCAGTTCTTTCCCAAGGTGTCGATTTCAGAACGTGACAAATTATAAATTAATATGCACAATGGAAAAAACGAAAAAAATAGCTAACCGGCTCGGACATGTTTCGCGTTGCATAACGACTGAAAATGTTATTCATTTTTCAATACCAGCGTTCTGTTCGTGATAAGGTAACAGATTTGTTCGATGAATATTATTTTGTATGGGCGGATCAACAAAAAAAAAAAGAATTAATGCCGATGGGAATTAATAAAGCTCACGAGGAACCGTGAGCCTATTGATAATAGAGAATCTTAATCTTCCCATTATCATTGTATATTCCGGGTACAAAACTAAAGTTTGACTAAGGAGAAAATCTGGGTTTAAAGCTGTCGAGCCGAATTGTCAGAGAGGTAATACAAAATTCCATGGACAAATTTGATTACTAATCATAATTAATTATTATATTTTTTCTACACCCGTATTATAATAATGCACTTATATGCTCATAATCCGTTTCATAATGATACCCATTATGATACAGATTTTTCATTACGATACAGATTTTTAATCAATAGAAACCTACAATTTTTCAATCAAGCATTCTTTTTGACGTTTGTCCTAGGTTCCTATGTAATTGTCTTAGTTGTCAAAACGTATTAAATTTTCGTAGATAGCTAAACTTCGATAATTATATTATCAACATGTCTGATATCAGCGATATAGAAGACTCCTCCACACATATCGGAGAAAGGAGAAAATGCAGTACACAATAATTTGCCCAAAAAATCTATGGTAATACCAATACCCAAGGTAATACCATTAATTACAATTTTGTAGAATTTTTTATAGAAATACGAGTAATTACTGTTATTGTGTTCAATACCAATATAAATATATTTATAGTTCTTGATTATTTATCGGGTGTAGAAAAAATAGCGTATGCAACTCTCATGTAATGGTTATTAATACACTCGCCTAAACCATACGAAACTCGCATTTGGCTCGTTTCGTATCCCGGTTAATGCTCGTTTATTAATAACCATCATTACATGATCGTTGCATAATATACTATTTTAATTAGCATATTTGTTACAATATTGGTAAATAAAAATGGAGATCTAATTGATTTTAAGGTATCTGGCAGATGATTAAAGATTTTAGGACTTTCATAGATTATTGAGTTCTTTATTGGGAATGTGTGGAATTGGAAGTATTCTTCAGAAGGTTCTAATGCATCTGATATTGAATTTTGTGATAATGATGTAGATTGGTTGGAAGAAGATGGAAATTTGGAAGACTTAGAAGTGGAAGACAGTATAGAAGAGAAAGATGGTATAAAAGAGCAAGATCGTATAGAAGAAGAAAATCCTATAGAAGAAGAAAATCCTATAGAAGAAGAAGATCGTATAGAAGAAGAAAATCCTATAGAAGAAGAAAATCCTATAGAAGAAGAAAATCCTATAGAAGAAGAAGATCGTATAGAAGAGAAACAAGAACGAAGTGAACAGAGAGAACCGAAAACAAAAAAAAAAAAAAAAAAAAAAAAACAGAAAATTGAAACAATAGAGATAAAGTGTTGTATTTTTAAGTAATTTTCATGACCCAACTGATGATGATGCCGTAAATAGAACACAAAAAGATGGCAGTTCAAAAGAAATCAGTTGTACAAAATTAGTAAGAGATTACAACATACATATGGGTTATGTTGATAAATCTGATATGCTAAAAAAATGCTATGAGCTTAATCGCTAGCCAAAAAAATGGTGACACCGTATTTTTTGGTATTTCGTTGATTTTACAGTAGTCAATGCTTATCTTATTTATAAAGAAAATATTGATGGTACTGTCATGCCACTGAAGAAGTTCAAATTGTCAGTAGTAACAGGTTTGATCGGAGCTAACCTCAATGTGTCGGAGACAAGAAGAAGTGAAACTGCATTCAAAGTACGTGTACCAATAGAAATAAGAATAGAGAAAGCTGCTCATTTGCCAAAATATGGTACTAGCGTTCGATGTGCCAACTGTAGTACCAAGTTAAAACATCATCGTACCAAATGGCACTGTTCCACTTGTACAGTTGGGCTATGCTTATCGGACAAAAGAAACTGTTATCAAATATATCATAGCAATTAGTTGCGCCAGTTGCACCCTAGTGGTTAAACTGATGAATCACCACTTTTTTCAAATGTTTGTAAAAAAATAAATAAAATATTGCATGTATGTGTTTTATTTTATGCAAAAGAATATAAAAAACAATAAAACAACGGTTTTTTTTCTGTCAAAATCACATAGCCGTCCTCTTATGTTAATGTGAAGATTCCATGTTATTAAAGAGACAAAAATAAATTTATTCCAAGAAACTTTATGGATGATTTGAAATTCAAATTTTTATTGTTAAGTGTTAATTTAGGTCTGACGCCAACATTTCTTTAAAAAAATAAAATATAACAGGTCTTAGTAGTAGAAAAGGTAAGGCCAGTTTGTTGTGCACAAAGTCTCCAGTTGATTAATAAGTTGTTGTGTACGAGAAAAAAATATTGTTTATGTTCTTGGTCTTGCAAAATACGACCAAGTCATCTGTATATGCATGGCTTTCAGTGGTGGTTCAAGGCCTTTCAGGAAATTGCTATAAAGAAGAGGGTGGGACTTTTTAAAGAACCTTGAGGAAGACCGAAGTATCATCTCATTGAAGCTAGTGGCGTTGGCTTTCACTTCAAATGATTTATTTGTCAAACAGTTAACGAAGAATTGGCAGTTGCTATAGTTTATTAATTAGGTAATCGTACCAAGCAGTATCAAATGCTCAACTAATGTCAATAAAGAGGACCATAATATTTACTGTTTAGTGCTGATCTTTCAAAGATTTCGTTTTTTAATATATGAAGTTATCTAGTGTACTTCATTGTAGTCTAAAGCCACTGTGTTTTGGTATAATCTGGCTGAATTTATCTAGTGTACTATTTTATTTATGATATTTTCTATAAATTTGCACATTACGGATGTTAAAGAGTTTGGCTGAGTAGATTCATATCATTTCTTGGGAAAAACATGTTGGCAACAAATAACATTAAACAATCGATGTAGGTATTCATATGTTCGAGGGGTTAAATGTTTGAGGACACTAGCTGGTTTGTCGTCCCGTCCAGAGGAGGTATTACGTAGATCATCGTCGATAGAAGTAATAGGTATATGTATATGCTATTCTAATTGTTTTCACCGTATACAATATGCATTGTAAAACTAGTGTTTTTGATAAGTTTGCGCTAATTTTAAAACTGTTTCAGCATTGATAGTTCACCTGTTTCCATCTACTAAGAGTCTTTTTATATTAAAGTTGGTATTCACGCCTAATATTCCTCGCACGTTCTACCACACTTCTACCAAAGAGGTATCAGAGTTTACAGTCGATAGATACTCGGTCCACGAACTTCATTTGGCACATTTTAGGGTGTATGGAGCGTTAGCACGCAGCCTTGAGAACTATATTTTATTTTCTATGCTTTTATGTTATTTATATCTATTAAAAGCTTTTTTTAGCATCTATAGCTAATTTGAGTTCATGTGTCCAGAATGGAATATGAACTTTTTCTAATTAAAATGTCAGCAGTTTGTTTGCAAGATGACATTTTCAAAGATTAGTTTATTTATGTAACAATTATTTTTGGTTGTTTTAATTGATTTAAAAATTTCAATAATGTTATAGTCTTTCCACATGTAGATACTTTTTTATATTTTAGAACTTTTTTTTCCACTCCTTATGACAGTTATAGAATTCTCAATAACTTCACAAAAATGTTTATAAAATATATTGGTTGTTCCTTTCCATTCCATTTTAAGAATTTAATTTAAGTCAATGTTTCCTCTGTTTCCTTCTTGTTTGCTTTTCAATTAAACAGAATAATTTCTTTTTATTGATGTTAACGTTTCGTAAATGTGTACACGTTCACAAATATAGAACGGCGTTTCATCCAAAAATAACCAGACTAAACCGACAAACCCCTTTCTAATCTCAACAAGCCGATTCTGGTAAAACCATAAAGGATTTTGTCGCTTCCTCTATTTATAGCCTATTTCCAATAGAAATGATAGCGCTCCAGAGACGTTGCGTGTTATGCGATGTGTATAAATAAAAAGTTCACGGCTACGCTAAGCGATGACGCCCGCGACAGAGGCAAAGGCGATTTTTCGCCCGCACTCGAGGACGCATAGGGTTAGGTCGGGGACGATATATCGATTCCGACGCGGCTTAGGATAATGGATTGAAACGAGTTGCGCCTTTTTCCTTCGTAGTCGTTTGTGGAAATCCATTAGGACCAATTGCAACGAGGTTTATAACAATTTCGTCGGTTTTATTGGCAAAACGTCGATTCAGTTTTTATATTATGTTGCGATTAACGGAAATTAATCGACGATAATTAGACGTGCGAAGGAACAATTAGGGGTTATTTGTTTCAAGAGAACAGCTGAGAATGTTTAATTTGTAATAATAACAAATTTAAGAATGAAAAATTATCCATATTCTAAAATGTGGTCGGTATTCTTGTAGAATTTATTGCTAAATACTAAGCGACTAGTTTCGGACTTATTTGGCTACCTTTAGAGGCCACTAAAAAATAATCCATTATAGGATGGAAACAAAATAACAAAGTTCTAAAACTAAATGGAACACAATCAATATTGACAAGTGGTACTAAATAAGTGTAACAAAACTTTTTTTTAAATATGATTAAAAGCATACATTGTACGCAAAATGATACTTCTTGCACTCCAGAGGTCGAGGTTGGTAAAGAGGCATTGGATGCAGAGATATACTTGGATGGAGACTATTGAAAAGAGTCATTTGATTCCAAATCTATAAGTAGTAGAAAAAATAAAGTATGTCATAGTTGGAACGGGTGGATGTTAAATGCATAAGAACACAAATCACATTTTACAGGAGAACAAAAATCGCTGTGTGCTTAATACAATGTTGGTATACGAGAGGTATTATAAGTTTAATATATACATTTTTTAAACGATACGTATGGGTAATAGTGATGGGTAGACGGAACATTTTTTCTAGAAATAGCAGAATTCATACAATTACGTAATATTAGATGCAGTTTGTTAAATCTGACAATATTGTTGACTGTTACTCTTTGTTTATAGTTTTAGAGTTAGACATGTCAGGACTTTCAATTGCGTCTGGCTGACTGCTGACTCAGCTCAGTTGGTATTATAAATATTGTAGGTGTTAGTTGTGCATTATTGTCTCTAAACTAAAATGAGCAACTGAAAGAAATCGTTAAAAAGAGTTATTATAGACAACTTTACTCCGTTACTTAAAGGAACTAAAACGAGTTTTAAATGCAATCGTTGCAATTTGTTGTATACAGTGAAAAATATAACAAAAATGACTGAGCACATTTTAAATAAATGTAGTAAATGCCCGGGTGAAATTAATTAGATAAAATACTGTAGTTTTAAGATTATTATTCGGACATCTAAAATTAATTTAGTACAGGGGAGAAGAGAAAACAATTTTTTCCTCTACTTTTGACACATCCTGTAGGTTAATTCTGCTCGTAGATCTGCACACAATTAAGTTTATCAAGAAGACTGATTTGTTTCCAACACTTTGTTTTTTTAATTATCCGATATAATAAATTGTTTGTGAAATGTGACGGTTTAAAGCAAATGCTACATTTTAGAAACGGTCATAATTTAAATGACGGTAAAGAATAAACTACAAAATAAGTAGAGTGCTGTGGCCAACTCACAATATGACAACTGTCAAATATTTGTTACTTGGCAATTGTAGTTTAATTATCAGCATAACAAATATTCATTATCAGCATAACATCATGGTTTTAACGCCTACTGGTGCAGCACGAGCAGTTGCTCTGGTACAAGACGGTAGGTCTCAGTATTATGCTTCTAGAGTATTGGGTGTTACAAGGTGTAGCGTCCAGAGAGCTGTACAACGTTTCAATGAAACTGGTAGTTTTTCGAGACGAAGAGGATCTGGCAGACAACGTTCTACAAATGTTCGAGATTATCGTTTTGTAACATTAAATGTTTTGCGAGAAAGAAATACTACTGCTCAAAATTTTTTAGAAGAAGTACGTCAAGTAGCTGTTAACGAAATAACGATTCGAAGGCGATTACGAGAACATGGATTACGCTCCAGAAGACCTGCAACTGGTCCGGAGTTACTTAGGAATCACAGAACAGCACGTCTTCGGTTTTCCAGGGAGCATCAACATTGGAATGTCGATGACTGGAGGAAGATTTTATTTTCTGACGAGTCAAGGTTCTGTTTACGTTCTCCTGATGGCCGTGAAAGAATATACCGAAGAAGAGGCGAAAGGTTTGACCAAGCAAATTTTTCCACAAGACTCAGTTATGGAGGATCGGTCATGGTTTGGGGCGGCATAAGCATGGAAGCCTTGTACTGATTTAGTCATTGATGGCGGTGGAGCAATGACAGCTAACCGATATATTCGTGATGTGCTAGATCC